CTGTTTTCACTGATGCTGCCTTCACGTGCTACCAGAATGATCGTGAATAGGAATGTGGTAGTTAAAAATTGCATATGAAAGCAATGTGAAATCGACTGCTTGAATTTGTCAAGCTCATAATCATATTCGGGACTTATAAAGTCCGCGTTAGCACGCGATGGCACCATGAGACCAGCTATGTTGTTATTTTTATAGCACCGTGCTCCCCGTCTGTGTAACTCATAAATAATCTGGCAGGGTGCAGAATTCGCCACGACACCGGTTCGAACATATATGGCTGAACACCGCTACTAGCAGTTTCTGACATTTTCAGTGCGTGAGAGAGTGTTTTGTTATTGCTGGCATGATGCCGGTGATAAAAAATTATCTGTAGGGTATTTTGAGCTAAAACTTCACATACACACTCTGGGGACATCAGAGACTTATTTTACATCTTGTAAAAAGGGGCATAATAGGTCACCTTTAAATAAACTGTGTTTAGCACCAGAACTTACCTATGCATTCAGGACAGCATTTTCCTTCTCTGCGAATGGGGTTACTGCAACTCAACAACGGACACTGTTTTTTCTGGCACTTTGTGACTCCATGCTGTAATGACAAGAGAAATGTAGTTAATTATGCTAATAGTTTGAGGCAAGAAACTACTTGCAAAAACATAGTATTTTTATGCGCTGGTCATAAAGTGTTGTTTCAGACTAGAGGAAAGAAAACATCCAAAATACACTTTTAAGTGTTTATTTTATTGCACTTTATCTATTTGCGTCAGATTTAAATTCCAATACGTATCTTTAAGAGTTTGTTTCTCCACTTCAGCAGCACTTACATACACCAAAACTTATTCCCATCTATATTCTGAAGGTTTTTACTGAAGGGTTTGTTCATATATCATTCACACTGATTTATATAACATTTCGTTCCTAAAAACATTGCAAAAATGTGTGTTTCGCTGGCTATTGCCAGTGTTTTCTGATTTAGGATAAAAGGAGAAATCCAAAATCCCCACAGTAAAAACCTTTAATATGTCAACAAAATCAAACAAAAATTTTGAACCTGACTTTATCCAATGTTCAGATTTATACTCTGGAAATGTATGCAAATTTGTGCATATTTAATTAGATGCCTTATTTGCATACATTTCAGAAAATGTTTGCACTTCTTAATGTAATCAATAAACTGGGGAAGTATGGTGAAATATGTTACCCTACTTATCTGTGGTATCGTGTTTTAAAATCTCAAAATGTTCTTAAAGGGGTCCTATTATGCTTTTTCACTTTTTCAACTTTAGTTAGTCTAGGACCCCTTTAAAAGAAATTTGAATTAAAGCAAAGATAAACTCACATCACACCAGCAGGTAATGCACTTCATTTCTCCCACCAGCGGGACACGAGGGTGCCAGTGTTCGCTATTCTGGTAGTAGTTATTGCCGAACTTGCAGTGTCGCGCTCCGTCTGCCTGCATCATTTCATCGTCCTCCAGAGGGGGCGTGTCTTCCGCAGGACACTCCTTACAGCAGTCTGAAGGGTTGCGTCTGATTGGTCGGCTGCAGGTGAGAGGCGGGCACGTCACTTTCTCGCAGTGCACTTCTCCTGTGGAGCCCTGAGATGAACAAAACAACAAGGTTAACTATTAATATTCATATCTGTGTACAAATTTGGTATTTTATATAGCAAAAACAATGTTGTGTATTGTAATGTTTGTTAATTTACCTTGCAGGTACACACGGCACACTTAATGTAGCCGAATGGCGGGACAAATGGATGCCATGTTGTGCCAGGTGCGTGCATTTTCTGATCACCTTCGAAATAACAGCCTGAAACAACAAATAAACATCTTAATATACACCTGCACATTTAAAATAATAGTTGTGATGTTTAATATTATGTAAATTCTTATCATTTAATATAAACTCACCTTCTGGATCTTCCTCAACTTTTTCTACCGCCGTCGTCTGTTTGGTTTCTTTCTTTTCTGTTTAAAGAAATTCGAACACAATGTTAAATCTCCCTCAAATTTTATAGGACGCAGTAAATATAAAATATATATTTTTATGCTACTGCATTTTATTATAGTCCAAGCTAACAATCTTTACACAGCAAATCAAATCTTGATCAGCATTTTTGTCTGTCATGTTTTCCAGTAAAACATCCTTAAAACAAGATAAGTTTACTTGAGAAGCTAAATTGCATAAGATATTGCAAGAATATGCATTTTTATATGTATTTCTTACCCCATTATTTTTTTCAATTAGCCATTTTTCATAATATAAAATCTTATTAAATTGATTTTATTTTAAGGGTGCTTACATATACTGAAAAACAAGACAAATATATTTTTTTTATGTCTAAAACCTGAATATTTCAACACATAAATGTGCTACTTTTAAATGAACATCAAAAATTTTAACAAATGATATTAATTTCATTCATCACTCACCGTCACAGATGGGACAGCACTGGTCTTCAGGCTGGATGGTGTGAGGACATGAGAGCGCGGGACAGATCACAGGGTCACAGATCACTGTCTTCTTCTGCAGGGATTCGAACAGATCATATGCAAAATTAACCTCAGTCACATAAGTGATACGTACATCAAAGCTACAGCAGTGTGTGAGTGAGAGAGAGAGAGAGAGAAAAAGACATAGAGAGAGTGTGTGTATGTGTGTGTGAGTGAGAGTGAGAGTGAGAGAAAGACATAGAGAGAGTGTGTGTTTGTGTGTGTGTGTGTGTGTGTGTGTGTGTGTGTGTGAGTGAGTGAGTGTGAGTGTGAGTGAGAGAGAGAGTGTGAGTGAGAGAGAGAGTGTGAGTGAGAGAGTGTGAGTGTGTGAGAGAGTGTGAGTGAGAGAGAGAGTGTGTGTGGAGAAAAAGACAGAGAGAGTGTGTGTATGTGTGTGTGAGTGAGAGTGAGAGTGAGAGAAAGACATAGAGAGAGTGTGTGTTTGTGTGTGTGTGTGTGTGTGTGTGTGTGTGAGTGAGTGTGAGTGTGAGTGAGAGAGAGAGTGAGTGTGTGAGAGAGAGTGAGAGAGAGAGTGAGTGAGTGAGAGAGTGTGAGTGAGAGAGAGTGTGAGTGAGTGAGAGAGTGTGAGAGAGTGAGTGAGTGTGAGTGTGAGTGAGAGAGAGAGTGTGAGTGTGTGAGAGTGAGAGCGAGAGTGAGTGAGGGTGAGAGAGTGAATGAGAGTGAGTGTGTGAGAGAGGGAGTGAATGTGAGTGTGTGTGAGAGAGTGAATGGGAGTGAGTGTGAGAGAGTGAGTGAATGAGTGTGTGTGTGTGTGTGTGTGTGTGAGAGAGTTTGTGTGTGCATGAGTGTGTGTGTGTGTCTGTGTCTGTGTGTTACCTGGCAGATGCAGGTAAAGCAGGTGTTGTACTGCGGTGTCCACTGCGACCCATGCGCATGATGTTCTCCCTCAAAGAAGCATGTGTGTGGGTCTTTCCTCAGCTCGGCCGGGTCACGGACGAATACAAGATCGTCAAACTCTGCCTCCTCGACCACTTCACCGCGCGAACCCAACTCACAGCTGTTGGGAACGTGAATCTGGAAAATGCAGATATGCATTAAACACAAAGGTTTAACATATATATTACTTGTATTTAATTCAGTTTTGAATTTAAAGTACTCTGTTAGAATGATTGTGTTTACATAACATTTTGTGAAAGCATTATACAATAAACAAGCAGACAAAAAAAATATCCAAATATAGGTAAAATACTAGTATTAAAATAAGGGGCTAAATAATATATAAAAATATAAATATCAAAAAAAAAATAAAAAAAATAAATATCTTTCAACACACCCTGAGCCTGGAGGAGACAGAGAGACAGTTTGTGTAAATTTGTGCAAACAGGACGAGATGAACTCTTAATGTTAAAGCAGAATTAAATGCATTTAACCTACAAATACTGAATGCAATTCTGGTTTCAACTCATTTTGGAAAACGCCAGCTTTGTTTTATAAACAAATCCTTTAAAGCATTTTAATAAATAACAGCAGAACCGTGTTTGTCCGGTTCTGGCACGATTTCGCCGGAGCCAAAGAAAACACGCTTTTGTTGTGCTGCAATCACGCAGTTTACATTATCGCCGGGTGTAAATGATGCCAAATTATGTTTAACTTCGAGTCTCTTGATTTGTTTACCTGTTGACCGTAGAAGCCAGTCAGAAGTCTCTTGTGATTGGTGGACGAGTCATCCATCTCGCCGATCTCGGCCAATCCGTGCAGGTGAGCGTTGACGGTTTCTAAAGAATAGATTTCATTTTGTTATTCATATTCATTTTATTATTCATGTTTATTGTAAATGCTGTCTTTCTCACCATTTCGGCGTGCGTCCAGTCCGTTGTACGGCAGCATTCGTATCTGTCCGCGCAGTTCGCTCTCTTGCTGCTCAGCCGTGGCGATGTTAATGAACAGTTCGTTCTGCAGCAGCATGTGAATGTGTCTGGCCTCGACACGGCTGCAGCTTCCCACCGCTCGCCCGCCACCGCGCTCCTCCGCCGCGGAGAAATT